AGAGTGTTATACTAAGTGAAGTAACACAGACTCAGAAAAACAATGTGTGTTCTACCTCATTTGTGGATTTTAGCACCAAATCCTTATATGTGAGTATATATCCTGATTTAACTGCATGAGTCAGGGAAATGGAAAGGAGTCACTGGGGTAAAGGGAAAGAAGGAACCCAAGAGAGGGGGATAGTAGAAGGCATTAAAAAGGGGTCAATGAGGAAAATGGGGGTATTTAACTGAGACATGAGGAGGAAGGTTATACAAGGAACCATGGGGGCAAAGTGGAAGGAGTTCTAAAGAGGGAGCTACTGTAGGCATATCAAGGGGGGGAGAGAAAAATGGGGGTACTTTAACTGGGGAGGGAAGAGGGTTATACAGGGGGAGAGAGAGGATAGATAAATAATGCTTAGGTGGTGTGTATGTGTGCGGTGCATAGCTGAAGGCTATGTAACAAGAAACACAGTGCCCGATAGGAGAAACCTCCCTTCAAGTTGCTGGTCAGGGTAGTCTGAGAGACTCCCAAATTAACACAGGTTATTGGCACAGTTATTTATTGCCTCCAAGAACTTGAAGGTAAGATCCTACTGCTGAAGATAGAACACACTTCAGACACAGCAATGGAACTGGAACTGACCTGGAAGCCTCTTCCCTGAAGGCTAGATTTCATAGTATCAGAGGATACTATGCATGTGCTAAGGAAGGAAAAAAAAGTCCACACTGTGGAATGTGAATGATGAGCACTGATGGCTGATATTATCTTTTTTAAAGTTATTTCAAGAAATTGTTAATTAAAATATGTGTGATTCTTAGTAAGATTTAATAAAGAGAAAAAGTCAAACTTCAAAAAAAAAGAGGAAACCAGCTGGTGTGGTAGTGCATGCCTTTAATCCAGCACTTGAGAGGCAGGTGGATCTCTGTAGGATCAAGGTCAGCCTGATCTATGTAGTGAGTTCTCAGCCACCTGGAGCTCCAGGGACACCCTGTTTTACATTTATATAAAAAAAAAAGGAAACCAAAGCTGGTTTCCAGCACCCACATCAGGCAGCTCGCAACCACCTATAGTAACAGTTCTAGGGGATCCTCTTCTGACCTCCGAAGGCACCTATATGCAAGGGGTACACAAATATACCCTCAAGACAGACAGACAGACAGACAGACACACACACACACACACACACACACAAACACACACACACACACACACAAAATATTTTTTAAAAAAAATTTAAAGAAAGAAAGCAAACCAGTTCCCAGCAATGGGATCACCTGTCATTCCCAGAAGTCCTCAGCTTTAAAGATTACTTAACTGAGAAAATTTCAAACAAATTATAATACTAGAAAATCTAGTGTTAAACCAAGAGAAATAATCAAAACTATCTAAAATAGGCTATGCACTAGGAAACCATGGAACTTATTTAGCATCATTTTTAATAAGGACATGACAAAGCAAATTCTGATGTGATCAATAAGTTTGCTGATAACAACAGACGCGTTCTTATTGCCTAGATACTATTGATAAAAAATCAAAAAGCAGCCAGGCATGGTGGCGCACACCTGTAATCCCAGCACTTGGGAGGCAGAGGCAGGAGGATCTTTGTGAGTTCGAGGCCAGCCTGGTCTACATAGCAAGTTCCAGGATAGCTGGGGGCTACAAGGAAACCCTGTCTCAAAAAGAAAAAAAAAAAAAAAAAGCGTGTAGTGTGCCAGTGGTGCTCACCCCCAGGGCCGGCAGCCGTTGTGTGCAGCTCACTGCTACCTTCAGTTTCCAGTCGGTCTCACCATCTAGTTGGTCCGTTCGAATAAAGCAGGAACCTTGAAAGTAAAGGAGAAAATATCATCACTTAAAACTCCATTGAAGGAAGTTTCTTCTGAGCTATAAGTGTTTTCAAAACACTTTCCAGCAAAGTGGTATCCAAAAATCATATAACTAAACAGCTGAGAACAAACAGCTTTGAAAGTCTTCATTTTGTATGATATCATTGACTCAGAGAACAAATCTGTAAATAGACAGTCATTAATTTTTTAAAAATCACTTATGTCCTATTTGATGCTCTTGCTTTTGCTGTAGTGGTGGTGATGATGGTGGCAGTGTGTCTGTGGGCATGTGGGTGTGTTTGCGCATGTGTGTGTGTTTCTTCTGGTGCTACAGATCGAATTCATGGCCTTAAGCATGCAAGACAAGTGCTCTATCACTAAGCTAAAACCCTAGTCCTTCTCTGTTAAGGTTTAGTATCAGCTACCATTTACTTTTAGAAAGCTATTAAGATCATTTCTTTTAATCTATGTTCTGACAATTTTTTTACACACACACACACACACACACACACACACACACACACACACAAGAAAATCCAAGAGTCTGATATTACTTAGCTAATGCAATGTTACATTTACCACCACAAAACATCTGTTCAGTAATACAGGTACAGCTCAAATGCTAAGACCCAGGTAAAGTGCTATTATATACTAAGGGAAAAAATTGAATTACAAAAATCTATTTACCCTCAGACCATACTCATCATCCCTCTTCGCAGATCAGGACTATTCATTACAACGGTGTTTATAATAAGGAAAGGCTGGGACAGATGATTAGAGAAGTAGTAAGTAAAACAGGATAGACAGTAATTTAAAAAGAAAAAACAAAAACAAAGACCTCAGCATGGAAAGATCTCTAGGACGGACATAATGTTAAATGGAGAAAATAAGGTACTGAAAAGTAACCATAAATAACAGACAGACATGGTGGGGCACACTGGTCAGCCTAGCCCTTGGGAAGTGAAGGCAGAAAGATCTAGAATTCAACGTCATACTTAGCTACAAAAAGATTGAGGCCAGCATGGGCTACCTGAGGCTCAAACAAAACAAAACAAAACAAAACAAAACAAAACAAAACAAAAAAACACTTTATGGTTAAGAGTTAAGGAGGAGATGGGGAAAAAAAGAGGAAAAAGTGCATGTGTATATCTCTACACATGGAATTTAGTAACTATATGTATGTATAATCTGCCTCTATAGGTATACATGTTTATGCCTGTCTTTTATGTGTATACCTCTGTGTATCCCCATATATCAAGCTGATAGGTTCACACATGTGCCTGTCTGTGCTTTATGTACATGGATATCTGTATGTGCATTTCTGTATATGTACTGCTACACAGGTACACAAACACACATGGGTACAACATAGTTGTATATGGAAGAAGAGAACAGAGAAAGGAGAAGAATAAGAGCTAGAGATTCCTGATCATAGTTTATAACATACATTTAGATATCATGCATGTTTTGTATAATTTATAAATAAATTACACCAAGCTTATAAAAAAGCAATTCTTAAAAAATACTAGAAAGTAGGGCTGGAGGATGGCTCAGCGGTTAAGAGCACTGACTGCTCTTGCAGAGGACCTGGGTTTGATTCTCAGCACCCACATGGTGGCTAGCAACTGTCTGCAACTCCAGTTTCAAGGGAATTCAACACCCTCTTCTGACCTCTGTGGGCACTGGACGACACAGGTGTGTGTAAGCATACATGCAGGCCACACACTCAAACACATAAAATAAAAAAACAATAAAGTATTTTTTTAAATACAAGGAAGTATATAAGACATAAATTCCAGGTTGGGGGTGGTATAGTTTAGTAGTACTACATTTGTGTAGCATGTATAAGGCCCTGAATTCCAAAATGACATAAATAAAGAAACCCATAACAACGAATAAAATACATACAGTAATTGAAAATCTCCCAACTAAAAAGAGCTCAAGACCAGATGGATAAAGTCCAAATCCTACCAAGCCTTCAAAGGAGAACTAATAGCAATATTCCTCAAATTATTTTGTAAAATAGAAAAAAGGAAGGAACACTCCCAAATTCTTTCTATAAAGCCAGTATTACTCTAGAACCAGAACCCGACAAAGACCCAGCAACAACAGCAAAAAACTAAAGACCAATTTCTCTGATGAACACTGATGCAAAAGTTCTCAATAAAATACTCACAAAGGAATGCAAGAATGCATCAAAAAGATTATCTGCCATGATGAGGTTGGCTTCACCCCAGAGATGTAGGGAAAATCAATAAATGTAAATGACTGGGGCTGGAGAGATGGCTTAACGGTTAAGAGAACTGGCTGCTCTTGCAGAGGACCAAGTTTGGTTCCCAGCATTCATACGGCAGCTCACAACTGTTTGTAACTCCAGTTCCAGAGAGGCTGCCCTCTTATGAACTCTGAGGACACCAGGAACCCATGTGGTTCATATACATACAGGCAAAACACTCAGACAAATAAAATAAAATATAAATTAAATAAATAAATAAATAAATAAATAAATAAAGTAATCCACCATATAAACAGACTCCAGGACAGAAACCACATGATCATCTCATTTGATGCATAAAAGGTCTTTGACAAAGTTCAACATCCATTCATGACAAAAGTCATGGAGAACCTAGAAATACAGGGGACATATCTCAATATAATAAAGGCAATATACAAGTCCACAGTCACATCATGAATGAAGAAAACAGAAAGCATTCCCCATTAAAATAAGGGACAAGACAAGGATGTCTACTCTCTCCATTCCTGTTCAATATAGCACTTGAAGTCATAGGTACAGCTATAAGACAAATGAAGGAGAAACAGGGGTACAAATTATAAGGGAAGTCAAAGTATTTCTATTTGCAAATGATATGATTCTACATATGAAGACTCAAAGACTCTACCAGAAAACTCCTAGAGCTAATAAATACTTTCAGCAAAGTAGGTGTATACAAAATTAACACCCCAAATCAGTACCATTTTTTAAATGTTATTTTTTATTTTTATGTGCATGAGTGTATTGCCTGCATGTATGTAAGTGCACCTGTGTTGTGCAATGCCCGCAAAGGTCAGAAGAGGGCATCAGATCCCCCTGGAAACGGAATCATGGATGGTTCTTAGCCGCCATGTGCGTGCTGGGAATTGAGCCTGGGTCCTCTGCAAGAACAGTCAATGCTCTTAACTGCTGAGTCATCTCTCCAACCCATCAGTAGCATTCTTATACTCCACCACCAACATACTGGGAAAGAAATCTGGGAAATGATCCTATTTATGATAGCCTCAAAATCCATAACATATCTTGGAATAAATATAGCAAAAAAAGTGAAGGATCTGTAAATAAAAACTTTAAGATGTTGAAAAAAGAAGTTGAAGAAGATATCAGAAGATAGAAATATCTCCCATGCTCATGGATTGGTAGGGTTAATATTGTGGAAATGGCCATTCTGCTAAAAGCAATCTATAAATTAAATGCAATACTCATTAAAATTCTAACACAGTTCTTCACAGAAATTGAAAAAAATAATCTAAAATTTCATATGCAAACAAACAAAAAAACAGCATATCCAAAATAACCTTGAGTAATAAAAGAACTTCTGGAAGCATTACCATGCCTGATGTCAAATTTATACTACAAACTCATAGCAATAAAAACACCATGAAACTGACATAAAAACAGACATACTGATCATTTGAATAGAACAAGGACTCAGATTTAAGTCCATATGTTTACAGCCACCCAATTTTTTGACAAAGGAGCAAAACATGCACTCTGGAGAAAAGACAGCATGTTCAACAAATGGCACTGGTCAAACTGGGTAAGAGCATGTAGAAGAATGTAGATTCCTATCTCTCACAGTGCACAAAACTCGACTCCAAATGGATCAAAGACCTCAACCTAAGACCTGATACCCTGAATCAAACAGAGGAGAAAATAGGGAATACACTGGAACTTTTAAACACAGGAAAAAAACAGGACTCTATACCGCAGTCATTAAGTCCAACAATTGACAAAAGGGATCACATAAAATGAAAAGGCTACTGTATAGGAGAGGACACCATCATTTGAGTGAAGGGGCAACCTACAGAATGGAAAAAAAAAATCTTTACCAGCTATACCTCCGACAAAGGATTAGTATCTAGAATATACAAAAATCTCAAAAACCTAAAAGAAAAGAAAAAACAAGAAAAAAACAAAACAAAACAAAACAAAACAAAAACCCCAAACCACCCAATTAAAAAGTGGATCAAGGGCGCTGGAGAGATGGCTCAACGGTTAAGAGCACTGGTTGCTCTTGCAGAGGACCCGGGTTCAATCCTCAGCACACACTTGGGGGCTAACAACCATCCCAAAGTCCAGTTCCAGGGGATCTGACACTCTCTTCCAACCTCCGCGGAGCACTGCACAGCAAGGGTGCACTTACGTACATGCAGGCAATAAACTCATAAATATAAAATAAAAATAATAAATAAAATATTTTAAAGTGGGGCAAGAAGCTGAACAGGGAGTTCTCTAAAGATGAAATACAAATGACAGAAATACAAAAAAAAGTTCAGCATCTTTAGTCATTAGAAAAATGCAGATTAAATCATTTTGGGATTTCATCTTACCCTACTCAGAATAGCTAAGATGTAAAAAAATAAACAATGGCAAATACTGGCCAGGATGTAAAGAAAGGAGGACTCTCATCCACTGCTGGTGGCAGTATAAACTTGTGCAGCCACTATGGAAATCATTTCTCAAGAAGGTTGAAATTGAGCTACAATATCATCAAGCCATATGACTATTAGGCATATACCCAAAAGACTCTTACAGAATTAACTGCCTATCCATGTTCATTGCTGTCCTTTTCATAATAGCCAAAAATTGGAGACAACCCGGGGGGGAATCCATCAACTGATGAATGGATAATGAATCTCTCTCTCTCTCTCTCTCTCTCTCTCTCTCTCTCTCTCTCTCTCACACACACACACACACACACACACTGGAATATTATTTAATA